TTTAATAATCTAATAACTTCATAATTCTACAATGATTTAATTTATAATAATTGAAATATAACTGCAAAGGCAGTTTGTAATAGGTATTAAATTAATTCTAGGTAATAAGAAATACTTCTAAATAATATGTTTAAATACAATAATTATGATATTTTTTAATTATTTAATCGACATGATTTGGTTTTGATGGACCAAAACAATTAACAACAGTAAGTAGGTATTATTTGTTCAAGAAATGTGTACTTAAATAAGGTATCATTGTTACACTATTTTGGAGAGAACCTTACAAAAGTAGAGATAGATAATTCAAGAATCTTGTATTTAAATATTTGTTTGAGAAATGTATTTTGTATTTTATTTAAAGTACTTTTTCGAACGTATTTTCTATTTGTAGAATGAAAATGTACTTCTACAGTTAATAGTTCTGTTAGTATCATCAATCAAACTCACAACAAAGCTCACATTGGCTATTGATGGTATTAGAAGCTTTAAAAAGGAACAAAGAGACATTCCACGAATGTTTTCTAATTCTTTAATCGAAGAGAGCCCAAGAAATTGTAAACTTGAAAATGATTATTCTAAAATATTGGATCGATATTGTTTTCCGGGTTCAATGTCATGGCCCACGGAATTTTGAAGTTCTAAATTCATATCAGCACCTGCCAAATCACAACTTATCCTACCTTTAGCAAGGAACTACGAAATTCTATAAATTACGACAAAACAGCCCGCAAAAACATATTGAATTGATATATGCCAGCTGTGTAAAACTGAAAACTACAAGATATTGTGGTGTGTTCATAAATACTTATAATTTAAAATTCTTAGAAAACGATTCGAAAAACATTAGCTATTAGATGAACCCAAAGCTAAAGAAACTATGAATTCCATTTCTTTCTCTTATTACAATATGTAAAAGATCAGAAATAAAATGGAGTTGTGACTCCATTTTGGTTCTGATCTTTCACGCTAAACAAACTATATGGCCATCGGTGTCTTTTTTCCTATTGAAACGGGTGAAGAAGAAATTAAGGAAGCATATAGAAGAATTATTTCAGAGTCAATTGCTGACAATTCCATCTGCAGCCTGCCCTGCCTTGCCTATTTCGATCATGCGACTCCTACGGTCGCAGTTAGAACTGAGCATTCTACTGCGACACCAAATCGCACTGATGTGGCCTTCTAATTTTTTGATGCAACGTTCCAACGATCAATACCATTTAAATTGTGTTTTGAAAACGGCCAAGTTCAGACTTGTTTTATTGTTCTGATATATCTATTGATTTTCAGAAAGATGAGAAATAAGAACCAGATGCAAAAGCGGATGTGAAAAATATGCGGAACTTCCGTATAATTGCGGAAGCGGAAGCAGAGGTCTGTTGCAACACTACTCCATAGCATCCCTGAGCCGAATTGTCACTTCATAATCATTTAATAAAAGGTCTCAAAGGTTTCAAGACATTCTTCTCCACATTCGTATGAATGCAGCGCTGGTTTCCAACTAAAAGATGTCCAAGATGGCGCCATGGAAATTCACTTCCGATTTTTAAAATTTTCAATATTTTGTTTTTCTATTGCATTTTGTATTTCAGTATGGTTTTTTAAAAGTATCTTCTGCTTTATCTTTAATATTATTTTCTTTTACTTTTTATTTCACATATAGCTAATATAGTTTCATCAATAAGTCTGTCTGTTATCAATATTTTTTCATCTTGTTTAGTACTTTCAGATTGTAAATAATTTTTTAAATTATTTCTATTTGTTCATGCTTTATTGGGATTATCACAGTCATGTGTTGATTTCAATTTCATCTAAAAACGTTTCTTTAGTTTTGGTATTTATTTCCTTGGGTGTATTTATAGAATTTAGAGTATCTTCTCTCTCCATTGCTGCCATATTATAACCCCGAGTTCAATCAAATTCTCATCATACATCAGATACGTAGTTTATTTTATCAAATAAAATATTCGGTGTATCTTCAGCAATAACGTTCATTTCCATTTGAAGTACACCATCTGGAAGAACTTGGTAAGTTGTAATCGCACAATCAGTATTAGCAACGATACGAGGATGGCGTACTTGTTGATCTAAAACTGTAATAGTAATATGAAATTTGCTCTTAGTAACAACTACCACGTTATGTTCATGTGGTTGTTGTTGAGTTTGGAAGCTATTTTGAATGGACTCTAAGTAATCTATTGCTTCTGAATTGAATGTGTACAAACTACAGTTACTGTACCCATGCTAGATTGCGTGTTATCAAGTACACTCTACAATAAGGGACAAGGTATATTTAGTAAAAATAAAAGTAAAAAGATGTCTTTTCAAAAATGACTGGTACCATTTTTCTTTTGGTTTATTTTCCTCTTAACATCTGTTATTTTTTCGAGCAGTCGTCAAGTTTTTTTTAGTAAAACTACNAGTGCTAAATTAATCAATTTTTTAGACACCTACTTATTTATTGTTTTTAGGTTTGTTAGAAGGTTAATAGGAATTAGTATCGTTAGTTTATGGTTTGTTGGAATTGCTTATTAATTCATTGTTATAATTAAATACATACATGTCAAGATGTATAAAATTCATTGCATTAGACATAAGAGACTACAACAAGAAAAGAATATAATATTTTTAAATTATCAACTCACATAGCACGACGTACAGAATCCTTTTCATTTTTTTTAACACTACTTTTTGTCATTATAGTTAACTGATAACAATTTAATTCGTGGATTTTTCCATAATAACCGATTACACGTGTTCATATAATAAAACGTTGGGCAAATTTAATGTTAAACACACCGTACCTACCAACGCGGAATAACAACGCGGAAACTTGTGCAGTGCTAAATCGATATTAGACTTACTGACTGACTCACAGCTAATTTTGTTGTGCACTTCGTAATTACATGACGTGCCTCTGTCAGATTTGTTGTATTGAAGGTACGTTACGTACCTTTACATGCTACAACTCACTGTAAGTAAAAGAACATCAACTCATCGTTAATTTGCACGACTCCGTTTTGACGCAAGAACAAGTGTACGTATGTATGTGGTAATATTTGATAGTGACACGAGGCCGCGAGGATTACGCAAAGGTGGCATCGAACAAAATGAGAACATAGACGCGGAAAACCAGCGACGTAACAAATCAATGAATATACACTAAACAAAAAACAAAAAAAATGCGTCAATCAAAAACTAACTCGTAAAATAAGTAAAACAGGCAAATGATACAGATTACAATGTCTCTTAGGGAAGCCAGGGAAACCATAAGATCAAATAAAATAAAAACCCATTGGAGAAAGGTGAAAGTTAGAGTATAGAATATTGTATACAATTGCGACAAACTGTATCTAGGAAAATAGATCAGTGCTATAAGGCGCGGAAACCATTCTTTCGCATGGATTTCGAATACTTAAAAAAAAGTATCTAAGTAAAAACCCAACCTAACCCATGGCTAATCTATCAGCCAAAAATAAGAATACTTTTTGTGGTTAACATTGATATAAACTAAGGCAATATGCAACAACGACAACACTCATTACGTTCCTACCGTAACCTAATCTGACCTAACATAATTTAACTTATCCAAAAATACTTTTATTTGATTCTTTAGGATCATAAGGTTACAGTATTAAAGAACAACACTTTTAGTAGAATGAAGATTCGGGCTATAAGGGCGTGGTCTAAGTGAACTATTGTGTCCAGACGTTTCGTCAGCTACTGCAGCTGACATCCTCAGTGGTCGAGACTTCGAGACATAAACTTCGTTCACGTTGTCAATGCAGCACTACCACTGAGGATGTCAGCCGCAGTAGCTGATGAAACGTCTGGACACTTAGACCACGGCCCTATAGCCCAAATCTTCATTCTACTATGGATTCCGGCCGTGAATGCATTTCTTCTTATATGAACACTTTTACCGTGTATTTAGTACATAGAAATATGAATCAAAGAAAATCTTTAGTTTTGGCAGACTTGTTTAGCTATGGGTTGGATTTGGTCGATTTGCTAACTTTTCTCTTCAAACCTCGAAAACTATGCGAATGATTGCCGCGATCAACACATATATGTATGGATATTCTTGATCAGCACGCTTAACTTTTCATCATACTGGGTACATATAACAAGAAAATCGGATATGTGACCTTATAGTAAACAATCATCATTTGGAGCATCGATAATCCTTTCCATCTAGACCAGGCTTTCTTAATCGCAGACAATTTTTAAAATTTCGAAAATTACACTGTCCCATTTTGCATAGAATTGAAAGAAAATTTAAAAGAACATGCTATTAGGTAGGACTGGAATGTGCAGGAAAATAACTTGTGATTGCAAAAAAATGGTGGAAGGAAAGCCCTACCGTAGATCCACCGTGTTCATGCACCCCAAGCTTAGAAATCTTATTCTAGGCGCTTAGCATAATATTGCAATATAAAAAAATTTTTTTTAATGAAATCAAATAATGACCATATTACAAACTGGGATATTTTCAGCTCTTATTATTAAATTAAAATTACACACCTATATCGCACATTCCACTCTTCAGCAGGATGACTCGAAGCATGTATGACTCTACTAAACAGTTTTGCACTTACGTGGACATTCTCAATACGACTTTTGCGTTTAAATAAAGAAAGATAAATAAAAATCCATTGTTATGGTAATCAGAAGCAAGTCTATTTTTGTTATTTATTTAACAATAAACCGTTTCTGAAATACAGCCGGAAAAACCCTGATAGAAACTAAAATCGGGCTCCAGAACGGGTTTCCAACAGTCGTGATGAAATCTGGACCTAATATGGCAGCTTCAGTTAACTGGCCGACTAGAATGTAATGTTTTTTTGGAAGAAGGCCTGTCAAAATGCCCGGGCGGATGCTTAACCGGATTTCAAGTCAGATGCCTGGTTCTTCCTTATATGTCTAAACAGATCGTCGGGAACCTGAATGGGTACAGAGTTAAAGCCCCAACTGGGCTCTCAGTAAAATGTCTAGACTAGTTCAATATCGGATACTAGGGCAGGTTCTTGATGATGTGCATGCTTGGACATTTAGTTAAATCTCTAACAGGGCTCTTAGTAAAATTCCTGGATTAGTTTATTTTCAAACACCAAGACGGAGGTCTTGCAATTAGCCTGATTGGGCATTGAATCGGTTCTCTATGCGAATTTTAGGAGATACTTTAATTACATTTCTAGTTTTACTTTTTAACTGTTTTGTATATTAAGTAAATAGTTTAATTTAATAAGTTACTAAATTAACATTTTATTTATAGTAAAATGGTAGGACACCTTCTCAGGCATGAAGGTTTAGTCAGAGACATATTAGAGGCAGAAACAGCAGTTAGGAGGGGTAAAGGTAGACCTAGGTTAGATTATTGTTCACAAATAGTTAAGGATGTGGGTTGTTCTAGTTTTAGGGAAATGCGAAGTTTAGCTCAGGATAGGAAAGAGTGGAGGTGTGTGTCCAACCAGTCTTAGGACTTCCTATGATGATGAAATGGAATTAACATTTCTTTATTTTTTAACTCTACATATAATTATTAGTACATAGAATTGTAACTATAAATATTTACGTATGTGGTATCAAAAACATGAAAATGTGTTTATGGATTTCTATGAAGCGTTAAAAATTTGATAAATTTTACAGTATCCTTGTATTAGGGTGTTTTTTTGGAATTAAACCTTTTACTCTATTTATTATGTGCCAGTATTACCGCCACAGCATATAATCTACTTTGCAATTTATTAATCTCCACTTAAAATATAAAATATCGTTTCCATTTCATGGAATACTTACCTAGGTACCTAATTGTCACTACATATTAAATGTGATTAAATTAAGAAACACAGTTATTAAAGTTGTATGGGGGAACATTTTTTGTGTCCTTTCTTCATGAAATGAAAGTATCACAAGGTAGCATTATTTAATACATTTAATTTAAAGGACAAAGCACATAATGTGGCATTAATTATAAGTTAAGTTCTGTTCGGTTTTACGGACTATTTCTTTCTTTCTAATTAATTTCTTTTGGACTCAATGAAGTAGGTGCAATGAAATTTAAAATTTAATTTTTGTAATGCCATAGTTATTGCAATTTATTGTAGGTATATGCATACAGTGTTCAACAAATCATTAAGTTCTTTCTAATTATCGCTTTCCTTGACATATAGTCAATAATTTTCACATTTTGAAAGCATAGAATTCCGGGTTCACTTGCTGTGGTCTAAATGTCTCTGTGGTTTCCATGCATGATTTAGACAAATGTAGGGCAGTAATATTCCACAGTTAATAAGTCTTTCACTTCTCTTCTCATTTCGTCCGTGTAGCTAAGATTTGCCAAAAAAGAGGGAAGCACAAATAAACAATGTTGAAAATTCACATATCTACAGTCTATTTCAATTTGTTAGAATTGTGACCTCGAAGAAATCTGAGCGAAGATAGAAAGAATACACACTAGACGTGAGCAAGACAGAAATAGTTGGAACAAGCTTGAACGAGCAGAGCTCTCGATGGGCGGTCTTAGGAGATCGGCTAGAACTGTACAGTACTAGACGAAAATGTTTAGCAATTTCTTAAAACAAAAATGTATATAAATTAACAATAGAAAACAAAGCAAAAGTTTTATAGGTGTGTAGAACGTTAAGTTAATTCACTTGTTATTATTTTTGGCTAAATATGCTTTTAAATAAAGCATATTCTTAAATTTTAACGAGGCAGTTTAAATTATTTTACAAATAGTACTGTACACTTTTGTCTAGTTCTCGCTCAGTGATCGGTGGAGAAATGAGCTACGCAGACAAATATGATTGAATTTGGAATTATGCTACGGCGCATCCTAATAAAGCGAAGGGGCATATCTCTAACTTCTTGAAACGAACAGTATATATTTACACATCTATAGATATCAATACAATGGAAGTGTTTGTCTGTGACATCGAAATAATTAAACAAAGGGTTCTTAAAAAATGCTTTGTCAGTATATTTGGACGGAATAATCTTCAATTCGGCTGAACCGATTTCGATGGAACTTTACAAACACCACGAGAAGTTTGTGAGGAGTGACCTAAAAACTATTTTTTGTTTTTGCCAATCAATCAACTTCGCAACATATTGCAGGTTGTTTCTACTGTATTACTGCTTCTCGGTCCCTTCAGACTATAACAATAAAAAGAATATCTGATGGAGGGGGTATATCAACATCCCCTCCCAATTTGATAAGATCCTTCTGCCCTACTCTCCCAGAGGAGAGATTTCTTGCCAAAACGTCCTCGAACCCTATTGATGTAGGACATTTCGGAAAAATCTGTGACATTCTGTAAGGTTTTAACCCGATCTAGGAACTTAATTAACACCTTTATTGCTTCTCTATTTAGAATCTTTAGGGGCGATAGTCTTTTAACCCTCATAACTTTGAAAACAGTCCAACAGCTAAAAAACGAAATCTTCTTTGACGGGGGAATGGAATGCTATCATACCATATAAATATAACCATCATGAAGTGGCGGGATTCGGTTGCGGAGCTTTAAAGGAAGCAAAAATTTTTGTTTTAAAAATATTTTTATTATCCACGCAATTACACTTAACTGGTCACTGTCAGTCGTTACAACGGACCTTTTATTTACAATAATACTGGGTCTACACAAATAAATACATACAATATTTTCCTATAGAAACGTAATTATTCTTCCTATTCTGTCTATACACATCCAGAGCTCTTTACGTACATTTAAGGATACATTCTATTGTACTACGCTAAATATTTCTTTACGTATAATGTCTGTAAATAGATTTGGTAGCCAATCTTTTGGTGAAAAATACCTACTACTAGTTTCTTTATCTTCAAAAAACCTTACATTGGTTTTCTGATTGAATAAAGCTGGTCAATTCCACGATTTTACGTTAATCGATACTCATTTTTATACTTCGTTTACTTTCTGTAGCGATGTGACCTTCAGTTTGACCGGCGCAAAGTAGAAAAGAACAGCATTAGGCCAGAAAAGGAAGGAGACAACTCTCGGCCAAACTCTTAACCGGTGAGGAGCGTATAATTCATACAGTATTGCAAATATCAACGAGATGGTTATTTATATTTGAAGATATATTAAAGGCTTTAACACTTGTTTTCGACTCGCACTACTATTCGTGATTGTACAAAACTTTTGGCAGGTACTGTATGAAAAAGTATGTTTAATTAACAAGAGTCGAGAGTATAGTGAGCTTTTTCCTCCCTACCTACAATTTTGCCAGTGCGAATCCAAGACATTCGAAGGGTCACATCCCTAGAGAAAGTAAACGAAGTATAACATTAGAAGGTTACTTAGGATTGAGAGAATATGTACAAAATATGAGAAATATCTAGGAGGGTTTAAAAGATAGTTTATCTCTTATACACAACACCTTCTGAAATCTCCCTAAAGAATGCTTTGTTTAATTGCATAACGTTTTTAAAAACCCCACGTGCACATTTTTTCTTGTTTTAATTGCCTATTATATTAACTGATTTCTTAGATAATGACGCTCGTAGCGTCTTTATTTTTCAAATCAAGAAGTGCTGTTGTACTTGCAGATGCTGTAGGTTTCGATGGTTTTGACTGATAGTCTGTTTCAAAATTATTACACAAACTTTTCACTGTGTAATAAACAGTTACCACGCCAATGATGCTACCAAATAAGACGTCCCACCAATGATGACGATGATCTGTTATTCTTGTTAAGGAACATGTCATTGACCACGCGATACATATGAACATGAGGAAGATTTTGAAAACGATGCCTGTCTTTTTCACATTTAAACGACGATTTATGTATGCCTGCAACAAAAATATTTTATATTGGTAAAGGCTTAGTTATGATACAGGGGGAAGAGGTTAGAGATTCTATGTTCAGTCTAGTTAGTCACATTTATGAGACGGGGAAAGTTCCAGAGTAATATAAACGGAACGTGGCAGTAACCATACCTAAAAAGAGAGGCGCGGATAGGTGCGAGACATTTAGAACAATTAGCTTAACTTCCCATGCGTTAAAAACTAGAACTGTACAGAGGAAAATGGAAAAAAGGGGGGAAAAACTATTAGGGGAAGATCAATTTGGATTTAGAAGAAATAAAGGAATGCGGGAGGACATTCTAGCTTTACGGGTAACAATAGAGAAAACGATAGAAAAAGAATGAGTGCGTACATAGGATTTGTAGGTTTAGAAAAAGTTTTTGACAATGTTATATGGACAAGATGTTAAATATACTTAAAATGTAAGGATGAGTTACAAAGATAGAAGAATAATACTTGTTTGTATAAAGAGCAACAGGCAGTTATAGAGATGGGGTTGCAGCGTAGACAAGTAAATATTAGGAAGGGAGTCACACAGGGATGTACACTGTCACCGCTACTTTTTAATCTATACATAGAAGACGCAATCAACATCATTAAAGACAGTAGAACTGTAGCGATAGATATAGAGAAGGGTAAAAGATTTTAGGTATATAGGAAGTCAGAACGGAAGGAGTCGTAGGGATATAAAGCAGAGGATAGCTCAGGGTAAAGTCGCCTTCAATAAAATGAAATCACTTCTATGATCGCCAACGATTAATTTTGAAATTCGAAAAAGATTGTTTAAGGTGTATGTTTGGAGCACGGCTGCAAAACATGGACATATATCCAATTGATCCTTATTGGTTATAAAAACGATGTATAACTACCTCAATTCATTTCTGAGAACGGTCTAAGTCTGCCCTTTTTTTGGGTTTTCGGCTTTGACTCAAAAGCTGTGCAGTTTTAGTGCATATTTATGAAGCGTTTTTTGTAGAATATGAAATTTCCACTCGAAATAACACACTTTAAAGTCATAAAGTTTTTTTCAACAAAGTAAATGAAAAAACAAACAGGTCAAAAACATTTAAAAAATACAACGTGTAATTATACAACACGCTACTGAAGTGAAACTTCTTTAGACACACAAACATACCCGGATAGTGGTTAAGGAATTGGTTTAATGGTATTATTTGTACACTATGCGTCTAGTTTAGTCAGTGGCGTCGTTTCGACTGTAGAGTGTAGGCACACATACACAAACACGTACAAATACATTCATACATTTTGTTAAGACTACACTATACATGCCGGAGTCGCCTGTAACGAACGTTGCATTGAAGCACGCTCACGGCTCAAGCGATCCCCACTACGAACTCGACTACGTGACCGAGTAGAGGGGGGACATCCGTTGCATAATTTCGTTACGTAGCAAGTCGCATGAAACGAGCTTACCCTACCGTGCGTAAAAAAGTTTCACTTCAAAATTTATAACAAAAATTGAAATTTTCACCTCCCCTTAACTTTTTCCTTAGAGTAGAAATAGGAGTATCTCAGAAACACTCCAGTTAGTGCGAGATAATTTAGATCAGCTATTCTTGAGTTCGTGCTACAGATGGCGTTTACTGTGCCATTTGTAGTATTTTCTAAAACGCACTGTTAAGACAGCAGGTAAAAGTTGGTCTGTGTTCTGTCGTAGCTGCCTGCGCGCGCTGATGAAATCCAAAAAGATCGAAATCGCGATCAGCGTCTGGCAGTTTCAACAGAATACAGACCACTTCGAATTATTTTATTCGATTAAGCTAACGTGCCTATCACGTTGAGGTTGGCTACGCCGGGATTCGTTTTCAGCAAGTAGATATCCACACAAGTGGACCTTGTTGGAGCATACGTAATCCTAAAATGTAGCATCGT